GAATCATTTTGGGGCCAATGGGCAGAAGACCTCTACAGACACCTGCAGCTCCTCAAATGATATTCCCAGAGCCAGGTGGTGAGCTTCAAGGAAGGTGCTCTGCCACTTGTACTCTTTTTCTCCACTTCTCGCATGCAACTACGTGGCAGGGGCACACGCACTTTGCCCGCTTGCTGCGGCTTACCTCGGTGATGTGGTGAATCCAGGGCAGCAGCTGAGCCACGTTAGTGTAAACGCCCGGGTGGTTGGGCTCCCCACAGCCCTGACCCCAGCTCACGATGCCAACTAAGCGCCACGTGGGTCCATCCTGGCAAACCAGCGGGCCGCCGCTGTCCCCCTGCAAGGCAGAGCGAGGTTCAGCGCCACTGGAGCGGCCGCTTGGCTCCGCCAGCCCCGGCTGCTACCTGGCAGGCATCGATCTGCCCGTGCGGGTAGCCGGCGCACAGCATCCTGGCAGTGAGCTCGCCCGCGTACATGCACGAGCTGTTGCACCGCTTGGTGCCGATCAAAGGCACCAGAGCTTCCTTCAGTGTCTCGGTAACCTGCGCTGCACAAGGAGGAAGGGCGAGACAAGGCCATCCTCAGCAAGCAGGAGGGGATGAGTGGGGCGTCTGCCCTCACTCTTGCGCACCCCGTGGGGGAAGCAGGTACCAAAGCTTACCTTGCTCGGGGCTGGTGTAGCCCCAGCCAGACACCCAGCAGTAGGAGCCCTGGAGGAGGTCCTGGCGGGCAGGCGGCAGGCACACGGCGCGCACAGCGTCTGCGGGGAAGGGCGGGGGGGCAGCCGGAGGGGGCCACCGTGCTACATGCCCACGGCTGTGCCGTGGCCACTCACCCGAGAAGTTCAAGGGGACTTGGAGCTTCATCAGGGCGATGTCGTAGTCAAGAGTTTTGTCATCGTAAAGCGAGTGATAGATAATTTTCTCCACCGTTGTCCCTGCCTCTTGCCCGAACGCACCGTGGGCAACCACACCAGCAAACACCAGCCAGCCGGAGGCCTCCCGCCGCCGTCTGTAACTGACCAGAAACACGGGTGTCCCTCAGCATGGGTGAGGAGGCAGGCACAGAGCGCAGGGCACGGGAGAGCAG